ACACAGTTTTTAGAATAGAAAACCAAAAACGACGTTGTCCTCACACGGGGCGTTAAATAATCTTCTGTTTTGTTTATATATCGATAACCGACTTGTGAAAGTATTTTGAAATGTTTGAAACAGTTCCAATTCAAGCAGTGGAGGTGGATTTTCTCCTCCCACAGCAATGGGGCCTTCAGGTCAGTTTCCTGGTGCAAGTTCAAAGCTGAAGATCTCTTCATTTCAGTTCATGATTTTGGTCTCATTTTCTTGGGCTTTGACATGAAAGATTTCTTCTTGAGTTTTTCAATACCCAAAATCATTCTTCAGATTGCTAATTTATTGAGCAAAAATGAATAGAAGATGAATTTATCAACACATGTTTTAAAATGTTCATCACTTTTCACTTTCTTATTCTTTTTTTCTTCTTCTTCCCTCTTATTCATCTTGTTGTAGGGCCCCTGTTCATTATTGTTCATTGTAATTTGTAATTTACTCTTATGAGGTGGTAGTAGGAACTGGGTTATATTTTGTATTATTTTTTAAACTAGTTTCCATTTTTGGTTATGGAGGGAATAATCCATGAATATTATTTTTGAAAGTAGTTGTTTACTACGTTTGAGGGGGCGTTTGGGGCGAGTTAGGTTTAGGGTGCGTTTAACTCGTGTTTGGGGTAGGTGTTGCCAAACACGGGTTAAATTGGGGAACAGATGGATTTGAACAATAGTTCACTGTTCAAGCCTCGTGTATAACTCGAGCTTTCTAAATCCTTCGCATATGTCGAACTTATGCTCCAAACACTTTTTTCCTAAGTAGCTGTTTATGGATGTCATGAATTTAGACACGTCCCAGTTGAGTTTTCTTATTTGAAACGCCTTGCGATCTTCAACTAATTTTATCACCTCAATCAACACGAACTTTAAAATAAATTTTGACCAACTACTTGCTTCCCTCCCTTTAAATATTTAGGGGCCGTTTGTTTTTTTTGAGAACGTAGATGCCTGGCATTTGTAGATGCCTGAAATTTTAGATGTCCAGCATCTTCAGATAATCATGTTTGTTTTGTAGGAAAATTTATAAGGATGTTTGGTAACATTTGGATAGCACATTTGTTTTGGAGGATTTATTTTTGGAAAATGTTTAATTTGTAGAATGTTTCAAAAATGTCCTTACAAATATTTATATAATTAATAAATTCATTTAATATAATAGATTTATTTGAATTAATTTAATATTTTAATTTTTTTATATGTTAATTTGTAGAACGAATTAATTCATATTAATTTAATATAAATTTCATTTTCAACTTTAATAGTTTTCTAAAAAGACAATCATATCATTTATGCTATCTTGGATGAAATTTATTTATCCTATCATGACATTATACTTTTCTAAAAGTAAAAATATGATAGGTATGTTGGTAGTAGAAAGAATGTTGTTTATTAATAATGTAATTCCTTCAAAATATTAAAAATGAATGGAAATATTATATAATTTAATTGTAATTTATTTTACGTGTAAATCTAATATATGGATATAGTTAATAACATAAAATTGTTTATTAAATGATGAATACATTAATTATCTTAATTATAAATTTAAAAATAAAAAATAAAGAATTTTTTGAGGAAAAATTAAAAAAATGGATGAAAGAAAATACATAAAGAAAAAATGAAGGGTAAAAATGTAAAAAGGTGGATGCCCTTCTCATATTTGAATAGTAAATATATCCTCCAAACTTTTTCAATTGACTATTCAACTCCTTTATTTATTCTATCTCTCTTCTCTTCCTTCAAGTGAGTCCTAAAATCATATATCTTTTTCTCTGGATCTCTCCTCAGAATGTGGCCACATCATCTCAAATTTGGTGAGTCCCACCATTTCTCTCTCTCTTTTTTACTACACGTCTATACTCCCATATTTTTTTTCTTTCTATTTTCTAATTATTCATTTTTTCTACAATTTAATTGCTTTGGTTTCACCTTCCCATACTCACAGTTATAAATATTGAAATTTTCTAAATTGTAATGCGAATATATCTTTTTAATTTATAGATATATACAATTTTCAATTGTTATAGATTATATGAATTATAATTCAATTATATATATATATATATATGTGGTTTTGAACTATATAAATCATCCACAATTGGCCCCTTTGGCGGTAGTTCGTGGTTCTTCCATGGTTTGGCTTGAAGATGGTCCTAGGAAGATTTCTAGTATGATTGCTGCCGATTGTTCTTTTATGTTTGTTGTTGATTTTCTTCGCTTCTCAAGAAAAAATAAATAATATCCATATACTTTATAAAATAACTAAAATATACTATGTCACTGTTTAATTTTTAACATTTTGATTGAAGATAGTGCCTATGAACTATGCTCAAGTGGACAAATCCTCTCATTTTTGGATAATGAAACTAAAAAAAATCAGCAACATTTTGATTGAACAAATAGTTTACATACTCTATAGTTAAAAAAAAAAGAAAAAAAAAGAAAAAAGAGTACATACTCTATAAAGAGTACCATTTCAAATGTATAAATAATTCATATACTTTACAAATAGCAGCATTTCAATTGTGTAAATAATACATTTATTCCATAGATAATAATATTCCAATTACGTAACTAATCCATATGTAATTAATTTATATAGTTTATGAATTACTTAATTATACGAGTGAAATGTTACTATTTATAGAGTATGAGTTATTTACACATTTGAAATGCTACTCTTTATAGAGTATATGAGTTTTTTAAACATCTTAAATGTTACTATTTATAGTGTATATGAGTTATTTATACGTTGAAATGCTCATGATTTATATAATTTAATTATTCAAAAATAGTAAAGTTTAATCGATGTAACCTGCAAATCAGAGTAACACTTGGACCGATGTGGCTTTTGCCACATGGGCTCTGATGCCTAAATCAGAATCGAAGAAGTAAAGTCTAAGATATCAGGTGTTCCAAGCATACCTCTAGGGTTCCCTCCATCTCCCTCTTATAACAGTCCCATATGAATCATTGTAAATCTCAATCTTTAGACCTGTTACGGGCATAACTGCGAAACGGGAGGTACTGTGAAACGGTCGGGTGG